GTCACTGACCAGCATGCTGTGCTCATAGCCAGTGTGAGCTCAACTTCATGGGCTACGCAGATATGAATCAAGTAGCAACGGGACTTCGTCAGCGAATCTATTCCCGCGCCGTTTATCGTGGGAAGCACCAAAAATCGTGATAACCGTTTTGTGTACCTCGTTCTCGATAATGCCAGTGGTGATACTGCAATCAGGCAAGGGATCTTGGATGGGCTCTCTTCCTTGGGTGGAGAGTATTCACATTATGGAAAGATGAATGTTGCGGTTACAGGAACGCACTCACACGCGGGACCCGGAGCATGGCTGAACTACCTCCTACCACAAATTACAAGCTTGGGGTTTGATAAACAGAGTTATCAGGCAATTGTCGATGGGGCATTGTTATCTATCAAGAGAGCTCATCAGAGCTTGGCTCCTGGACGGCTGACGTTTGGATCTACCGAAGTTGAGGACGCCAATATTAACCGCAGCCCATCCGCATATCTTGCGAATCCTGAAGAAGAGAGAAAGCGTTACACTTCAGATGTTGACAAGACAATGACCCTATTGAAGTTCGATCGGCTCGCCGATCAGAAAACTATCGGTATCCTTACATTTTACCCTGTGCATGGAACATCGCTTTTCGGTAACAATACCCTTGTTGCTGGAGATAACAAGGGAGTTGCTGCATACTTGTTCGAGAGAAGTGTTAAGGATGATGTCGAATATGCAGATGACTTTGTGGCCGGCTTTTCCCAATCCAACGTTGGAGACACATCCCCCAACACGCTTGGGGCTTGGTGTGAGGATGGATCTGGTCTCCGGTGCACCTTCGTATGTTCATGATTCGTCCAGTCTAACCATTTAATTTTAAGAAAGATTTACTAATATCGGGCAATAGAAAGAGAGCACTTGTGGTGGAAAAACCACAGGTTGTCATGGTCGTGGCCCCTATTTCCGTGAAATGGACCAGGGCACGAAAAGTTGCTTTGAAAACGGTCGCCGACAATTCTCAGCAGCAAAGGACCTAGTCGCGAAAATGAAGTCAACATCCGTTAAAATTCATGGAGCTGATAGTGTGGCCGCGTTTCATACCTTCAAGGACTTTTCAAACTTTACTTTCAGGTCTCCGCTTGATGCCGGCCGTGGCGATCTAGAAACTTGCTACGCCTCCCTTGGGTTTTCATTCGCTGCAGGCACCACAGATGGTCCTGGGGTGTTTGATTTCACCCAGAACGCAACCGGCGGGTCCACAAAAAACCCATTCTGGTATTTTGCAAGAGACCTCCTCCACGCCCCTTCGGAAAAGCAGAAGAAATGCCAGGAGCCTAAAACCATCCTTCTTGACGTTGGTGAATCGCAATTACCCTACTCCTGGTCTCCAAACATTGTAGATGTCCAGCTGCTTCGTGTAGGCCAAATGATCATAATTGTGTCTCCCGGTGAAGCCAGCACAATGGCTGGCAGACGATGGAAAGAGGCTATCGCCAAATCGGCAACTGATATCCTCGGCATCTCCGACCCTATTGCTGTCTTGGGCGGCCCTGCAAATACTTATACTCATTATATCACCACAGAAGAAGAATATAGTGTCCAGCGTTACGAGGGAGGATCCACACTCTATGGTCCCCATACCCTAGCTGCTCACATGAATCTGACTCTCACATATCTGCCATATCTCAGAGATACTCCTTCTAGAAAAAAATTGCCACCCCTCCCTATGGGGCCTGGCCCACCAGTTAATACGGACATATCATATTCTTTCATAACTCCAGTTGCCTACGACACCGCGCCCATTCGAAAATCATTTGGGGATGTTATCTCCTCCCCAGAAAAATCCAAAACGTACAAGCCAGGGGACACTGTTAAAACAAAATTCATTGGCGCCAATCCACGCAATAACCTTAAGCTCGAAGGGACATTTACTGCTGTTGAGTATTCCGCACCAGGGTCGAATAGCTGGGAAGTAGTTCGGGATGATTTCGACTGGACGTTGGTTTATCATTGGAAGCGCGTCAATCCGGTTACAGGCACCAGTGAGGTTACCGTTGAGTGGCTTATTGATGACGACTACTATTCTGTTGGGAACCCGAGAAAACTCAAGAGTGGCACCTATCGCATGCGATATTTCGGCGACTCTAAGAAGTTGAACGGGGATATCTCACAATTTGAAGGCACTGGGGACACTTTTCAGGTACAGGTGTGAGAAATGTAAATTGTTTTCTACTGTTTTCTAAGGATTTGCATCTTTAGGCGGCCAGTAAATAACCTAACCAACAATCACCGTTTCGGGGCTTTTTTACTCCCCCCTCTCTCTTTGTTCCGAAATTATCTTTGTCCACATCAATGTAAGTAAGAACAAAACAGCATTTTCAATCTACAGAAGGCTGTCGTGGCATCGTGGCATTTGCTGACCCTCAGTGAGAATCCTGATTCTACTGGTAATTTTCTTTCTTTCTTTCTTTCTTTCTTTCTTTCTTTTCTTTTTTTTTTTTGGCTATCACCGAAGAGTCTGAAAAACCACCCGAATACGCTCCATCGTGTCCACGAACACGTTCACATGTCCTCTGCATACAATATCATCTGCCTGCAGGAATAACAGATGCAGGACATGAATTAGTTCTTCTTTTCCCCAAATCTTGCAAATATGAAAAGAGATTTTTCCTCCGATTTCGGCAAAATTTATGTATTCCAATAACACTCAGTCGGCAAAGAGAAACCAACTCATACGTGGCGGCGCGTGTTAGTTATATACTAACATGTCCTGTGCCTTGCAGTGATCCGAGCTTGGTCTGGTTTTTAAGGTTCAAAGTTAGCATAACCAGACGACGTTAATCGGATGTTTGGCTGAGTAGTTGTCTAGTACTCTTCTATTCTATCATCCCTCCAGTCCAGGTTGGCAAATCTGGACTCAATAGTTGATTAAATAGCTCAGAACCCGTGTAAGAGCCATTTGGGTCCCTCTAGCGGAATCATTTTCTACTTCGAATTCTGTCCTAGCAGATTCCTTTTCTCTTCATTTTTGCTTTGTTTTAGCCAGAGCTCTCGGTCTCTCTTCTGTCTGCACTGTTTCATCCCATCTTAGGCCCCATTCTGTTGGTCGTTTGAATGGCGCTGTGCCTCTTGTGCGCAACATCCGCTCTTTGTCAACGCTCCCGTCCTCCCCGCTTTTCCAACCAGCAATCTGTGCGACAAAATATACTTCCAACATAACCCACATCTGTTCGAAACACCTTTGATCTATCTAGCCACGCTGATCCGCCTTGATCGAATAGTTATGACCATAACTAACGTGATATGCCTCCCTCTACCCACACAACTCTCACATACTCACAGTGTTATTCAGGATTGTCCATGGCGCCCACAAAAAAAAAAAGTCTATGCCTTCCGGGCCCATACTTCTTCCCCTCCCCACAACTTAAACTCTGGGTTACGGGACGAAGACTTTGTCGTTGGTGAATGGCCGTCGGTCCTCGCTCGCAGTAACTTATGGTATTGGTTCTCCCGCTGTATCCAGTGTCCTTTCCCCCTGGCCGAACGACCATTATTAAGGGGATATTCGTCCTCTTCCAGCTCCTGTCCTCAGAGCATATCATATTGTTTCATGGCCATGTCATGAAATCTCCTCCTTTTGCTCTGACTCCTTAGACCTGTTCTCTACGTCTTTCTTTCTGTTGACTTCTTGTTAATAAAAAATATACCTACACACTCGCTGAAGCATCTCGTTTATCCTTTCGGCTCCTGGCATTTCACCATTT